ATTTTGAACTATAGATTGAAAGTTAATTTAAATCAAAACCCGATTTGAAAGGTTATTTTAAAAGCAAAATTTGAGAAAACTTTGAATAAACACCTTGCTCCAAATTGCATCTTAGCTACTTCTAATTGGTCTAAGTGATCAACCAAGGTACACACATGGCAAAACAAACATAGCATCCAATCTATCAAAACAAAACTATGCAACATACATGTTTCAATAGTATGTTTCCATTCTATATTTCATGTCATGCGTATGCATGCAAATTAATGATTATGCTCATGATTTGCAAAATGCTAATGCATGCTTAACACCGAGGTGTTACACTACAACTCCCATGATTGTCATGTCATGCTGACCACTTTCCTCTCTATTGCCATCAGGGCTATAAAGCCAGTGTTTGTAATGATGGCAATCACAAGATTGTGCTACTTCTTCAACAAGGTCTCACAGAAGGTAATTGATCGTGATGAATTGAAGTCGCTGCAGGAATTCGCCGTGAAGACATTATCATAGTTGGAGATGTGCTTCCCTCCATCATTCTTCGACATCATGGTACACCTGGTTGTTCACATGGTGGCTCTAATAGAGGCATTGGGTCCCATGTATTTGCATGAAATGTGGACGTATGAGCGTTTCATGTCAATTCTGAATGGGTATTTTATCAAATCGTGTTCACCCAGAGGGGTCCATGATAGAGGCCTACACTACCGAAGAGGCCATTGAGTCCGGAGGTCCATTATGCAATAAATGCCTAAAAGACCAGATTGCAATTGGTTTTCTTTGTCCCGGCACGAGGGTAGGTTTTATGGAAAAGGGCGAATGGGACGAAAGTCATTCATCCCAAAGGATTACAACACAGTCCTAGAGGCACACCACAACATCCTACATCAACTCTCGATAATGGATCCATTTATCGAGAAGCACATGAATGAGCTTCACGAACAAAACAATGGGCACATAGAAGCTTGGGTCATGAAGGAGCACAAGCGTGCGTTCACCATATGGCTACAGGACCAGAACAATCTGGATGGGGAAACAATGGAGGAAAAAATCATTAAGAAGCTAGCATCTGGACCATCACGCCAGATCACTACATGGCAGACACATGACAGTAATGGCTTCACGTTTTGTGTCAATTCGAAGGACAAAAAGAGTGTGGCACAAAATAGTGGAATTCGCTATGATTCATTAGATGAAAATGGTGAATATACTACATATTATGGCTTTGTTCATGAAATATGGGAACTAGAGTACGTGTCAATTTTTAGATTCCTGTCTTTCGATGCCAATGGGTTGAAGGCCAACGAGGTGTCAGTGTGGACAACTATGGACTGAGAATTGTTGACCTCAGTAAAGTAGGTTATAAGGACGACCCATGGGTCCTTGGTAACCGTGTTGCACAGGTCTTCTATGCACAGCCGGGGACTCGTTGTCCACCGGCACAGCTTCCATGTGGGGGTGAATTTGGCCATAACAGTCGATGACGTAGACTAGGCTCCCGAAGTTGAGAACTTGGCCAAGAATGAAGGCGCCAACTACGATGATGACCTCGTCGGCATTGCCTATGCCGGCGGTGAGGTGGGCGGCTCGGGCCACCGTAGAGCCAAAATCACACTCGACGCGCTCCCCTACTGGCATGCTAGCTGTCGTGGGTTCGTAACCACGACAAGCATCGTGGTTGTTTGTCGGATGTCGGAAGTGTGGGTCTTCGGTGGCTCGAGTACTAAAAAATACAAGGGGCACACATCAATTTATCCTAGTTTGCGCTATCGAGGCCCTACATCCAGCAGTGAGGTGTTCTTCGTATTCAAAAGAACCCAAATCAGACAAAAAGAGTTTGGCAGGGGATCGCTCGATGCTATCCTACAGCTCATCGGCGGTGAGGTTCTTCCCAGCGAGTGAGGAACCGGCCTCTCTCTAGCTGGGTTGTCGGGGGGGACACTCTGCTGTTCCTCTGCTTCTCGGTGTCTGGCTAGCCGATGGCTTGCTATCCAATCGGCTCGGATGTTTGATTCGCCTTTCTCCTCTTATGGGGGCTGACCCTTCCCTTATATTTCTAGGAAGGTAGGTACAAGTTGGGTTGTTGCTTTGATCTATGGTCTATGTACGTCGGGTGTAGGAGGGTGCTGCCGTGGCATGGATGGACCTCGGCTTCATCGTGTAGGGAGGAGTTGCAGGCGCCACCTGACGTCGCTGTTGCTTGACACTTGACCATCAGGGCTGTCTGCTGTAGTCTGGCCTCCCTCGGGTGAACCTTCTTGAGGCCTCCTTGGTCGTGAAGGAGCCCAGGGGCTGACGAGTGGGCCTTGGAACCCGCTGCCCCCGGAGTTGGTGGAGCTGCTTGTCGTGTTGTGTCTCACCAATTGCGTGACTGTGTCGAGTGAGCAGGTGGATGCCGTGGAGCCTCAGCGCCCGCCGAGCCTTGGATGCTCGGCAGGCTGCCCGCGACTCAGAGTGCGTTGCGCGGGCGTCCGAGTGATAGCTCAGGTCGGCACTAGGTCAGAGTCAAGCTCGGGCTATCATCGCTCGGCAGCCGGGCTCGGGTGAGCCCCTAAGTGCAGAGTGGCAGCTGCAGGCGTGCTCGAGCTCAGCCTTACTCCTTCCAAAGGGTGCGCGTGAGCGTACCCAATGGGTATAACCCTCTAGCGATCTGTGAGATTGGTCGGGGTCCTTCGGATGGTAACTCATTGCCCAAGGACTTAGCATACCCCTATGTTTGACTCTCATCGACTAGTTAGTTCATATCACTTGCTAGCTTCTCCCTTTGTTGCCCCTTGATTTCTTATTTTCACTGGCATATATACATGACCAACAGTTGAACTAGTTAGCTCTTGATTCTCGTATAGTAGCGGACCATTAACAAACCAAAATTTCGCACCATATAGTCAATCAACTCACCTATACGCCGCGCCGTGAGTCCGTATTTGGAATAGATACAGCCTCTATTAGACACACACATGGGGCTGTCTAGTAATGGACCTTCGATTGCCGATGTACGAATGTACACCAGCTCGAAACACGCGCAGGCATCTAAACTGTACAGGGTATAAACAGTGCAGAGAAACAGTGGATAACAGTGTGGGGAAACAATGATGACTGATGAGTGATGAACAATGACAAACAACGATGCAGAGTAAGAACAGTAGGGAACAGTAACAACAGTGAAAAGCATTGCAAAAACAGTGCCTGAGGCAGTGAGCGGCCTCCTATTTATTAGGGCACGAGGGCAACCACGCTATTTCAACCACGTACTTCCTTTCATTTTAACTATCATTCTGCCTTCTAGAGAGTTTAACATATTCAACTTTGACTAGATATATATATGAAAATACTATTATTTATAATACATAATTAATATCATTAAATAGATCATTGAATCTATTTTTATAATAAACTTATTTAGAGATACAAATATTGCTAATATTTTCTATAAATCTAGTTAAATTTAAAAAGTTTGACCAACTTCTCGTAATAATAGTTAAATAGAGATAGAGGTGTAGACTCTGTTAGTAGGTTATAGATATGACAGTTGGCACGATGTTAGACCTTTAGTTGAGGAATAAGATCCAAGTCCAACCGCTCCACTTCCTTCTCCCTTTTACTCCCTCAGAATCTTCGATACTTCCTTCTCCCTTTGCCTCCCTCAGAATCTTCGATACTCCGCCCGCCGCTTACTCGCTGCTTGTGCAAGAGAGAGAGAGAGAGAGAGAGTGAGGGAGAAAGCTGCCAGAACGAGAGAGACAGGAGAGATATTTTTTCTTTATTTCTTATGGGATTCTATATGTTTATGGATATTTGGTACTATAAACTGCTCCTACAATGTTCTAGCTAACGAGTAAAGAATATTTTAGTGTGTATGGACTTTTTTATTGATATATACATTGTGGTTGCTCTGAGGAGTATAGCTTATGCAATCCACAGCTTACATAGTATTTGTTCACATGAATATACATGCAAACTAGCGAAACTTCATACTAAATGTACGCTCCATGAGTAGCTCTACTGCTAGAGCTAAAACTGTTTTGGTGAACTGTTTGAAAAAACAGCTCTACATATGAAACTCCTTAAAATATGCTCTCACAGAACCTCACGAGGGCCCACCAGAGTGGGCGGGGATTATTAGGAGAATCTACTATTTTCATATCCATCTCCCATCCTTGTGAGAGCACGTTTAAGGAGCTTTTCAGGTGGAGCTGTTTTATTTTACCTGTTTGACACAAAACAACTCCAAACAACCCCTGGAGCTGGTAGAGGAGCCATGCCAAACGGGGGTCTAAAAGTGGTAGGCAATCTTAGGGATTGTAGTTATCCGTGATCCGGAGCACTTGAGGTCCCTCACCACAACTAAGAATGTGTGGTGTTTGCCTTATCTCTTAGCATCTCTCTGCACTATAAGTAACCACAACTCTAATTCCAGTAACTCTTAAGCTAGAAAGGAGGAAAATATTGTTTTCAGAACATCAAAGCAAGGTTTAACACTTGGCATGCTTTATTACATTCACCGGCATCACATAATCATCCTAGCTCTTATCCTAGCACTATGGATGATGAATCTTAACTTAGAGTGCAGCATGAGGAGGTAGCAGCATCAGGACTATAGGGGCTCATTGTCCAGCCACCTTTTAGCCATAGTAAATGATTCTTTAGGATTTGTTTCAAGAGAAACATGGCCGCCACCCTACATCATCCATAAGCACCAAACAGGGTTTTGTAATGCATGAATACACCTGCATTTGATTTATCCATCTAATATATATGTAAAATTAAATGAGAGACATGCCTTTATCGTCGTAAATGTCAGGTTTGTAGCATAGGTAATTGTGAATCTGCAGTAACAAGGACATTATAAATTCTTTATTGGTCAGAAAAAATTGTTAGAAGTTTGGGACATTATGGCATGAATCTGAAAAACGCATTCATAGAAAACATTCACTACACAATCTTGCATCTAACCCCAACCATCTAATCAAAAAAATTGTAGACAATAACATGATAAAGGACTATATATAGAGAGATTGAAGACTAGAATGCAGGAGCACAACAAGAGAAGTTAACCCTGCTGCCTGGTTATCAAGGTGCCAAGCTCTCCAATCATCAACTATGGAGAAATTGAAGGACCTCGTCCATGCTTGTGTGCCCGAAAATGGTACGACGAGGTCATGGTCTCCACTGCACCAAAAACATGAACTTGTAGCTAATTAAGCACAACCATATGGAGCTAGATTCAAACAGCCGCTAAAAACTTGCAAATATTATATATATACTCCCTCTGGTAGGGAGAAGTTGTTTCTAACAAAAAAATGGAACTACAATTTGTAGAGATGTTCTATCTAAAACATTTTGTTCACCCAGCAAGAGAGAGTTAGTTTTTCACCTATATACAAGAGCGCGGTATCCTCTAATGCTGAGGTTGAAAAAGTATTTTATGCTGCTGGGAAGATCACACGCATAAGGAAGAACTGGAGGTGATTTGCACCTAATCCATTCTGTCACTGTTCCCTGCCAATTTGTTGTCAATTTATGCTATATTTGGGCTATTTAAGATCAGTCCATATTATTTTAGAACTACTAAGTTTGTCTCAGTTACCTCCTTGACTCCAAGAGCAGCTCCAACGGCATTGTCATTGGCCCAAAAGTAGGACAGGTAGTAGCGGTAGTCCTAGGTTTGAGAAAAAGAATTTAAATTTAGGCAGTAGATTGTGTGGAAGAAACTGATCTCAATTTGCATGAACATAATAATAATCCACACGATGAATGACATACATAGAAGCAATCAAACGGAGGTTCATCAGGTGCGCCACTAAGTTGATAGTGGTAGTGTTCCTCAGCTAGAGACAACAAACCTTCCAGAGTACCTCTCTGTTTCCGTGAAGGAATATGACATGTTGGTTGCAATATGTTCATTACATAAACTTCTGACATGAGCTACAGAGATGAAAAAAACAATGTTAAGATGACTGAAAATGGTAAAACAAAAAATTATAGGAGAAGAAAGGTGAAAATTGAAGCTTACATTGTCAATAGTCTGTACCACATCAGCGCAAGGTTCGTTCGTCGGGTTTAGGTAATCTCCTTTGCAGTATTGGACGAAAGCCTTAGAAACGTAGATGATTGCAAGAAGAATGGAGATTGCATTCAGAAGTGTTCTTACAATATTAGGGTGCCACATTTCTCAATAAGACATATATATATATATATATATATATATATATATATATATATATATATATATATATATATATATATATATATATATATATATATATATATATATATATATATATATATATATATATATATACACACACCTTATATTGTTGGTCAGATATGATTCCAAATGAATGAGAAAACGTAACTCTAGAGTTGGAATCAATTTTGTCTCCTGTAACAGGATTACCAACAATATAACCCTGCATAAAGCAATAATAGATCATTAAGCGTGTGTGTGCACGCACGTGCTATGCTATCAGAAATACGTGCCTTTAGTTTAATAAGTGGTTGTTGCATTTCTTCAATTCCTGGGGCATATGCAATCACACATGGATTAAATTAGGATTAAGACAAAGAGTTCTCTCTCACAAATATAATCCATACAACAAGTATGAGGGAAGCAAGACTACATGGAGAGTGAAGAATTGAAGATAAGGAGTTTACCTTCTGAAATGTAGTGTGCAATCAGAGGAACCACCTTCCCAGCATATGAATCTCCACCAATATAGAAAGGTCGATCCAAAAGATACTTTGGGTGATCATCAAACCACTACATGAACGAAACATACCAAAGGGTGATCACTATGGTTGTTGTGTGTCTCTACCAATATAGGCATATATTTTTTAAAGATTTCTTCAGTTGAGTTATACAACAAGGTTGTTGTGTGTGAACCTTTCTCAAAAATGTCAAGACCTGCCTAGAAGATGAGATGTCTCCAACTTCATAAGCTTTGGGATCGTGTGCGTAAGAGAAACCAGAACCAACAGGCGAGTCTAGGAAGAGAATGCTTGCCATCTGGCAACGACGGAAATGGAACGGTTATATTCATCAAATAGAATGAAGAAAAATGGCAATGATGATGAACAAACTAATGTATCTTGTCTTCACCTGTGTCCAGGAATACGGATTGTAGACCAATCTTGGCAGTGTGCCGTCATATGGTTCCACAACAAACTTCAAAGGGCCTGTGAAGTTTATGAAGTTTGTGTGAAACAAGGGTGGTAAGTGTGCGTGCCCCGCTGGAGCGACAGAAGCCCCGCGCCTCTCAACTTCCGCCGCCGCCGCCTTGCTGCGCCAACGAGCTCCCCAGCTCCAGCGGCCACCTCCGGCTCGCCGGCGATGGCCGGATCTGGTGGATCCGGTTCCTCTCTACCTCCCCCACCCCTTATTCTTCCGACAACAGGGACGAGGGCGACCCATCCTCGACCGCGAGCCACGACGGCGTCGTACTGGCCGTCCCTGCCGCCGCGGGTGAGCAGATCGAGCCAACGACGCCCGCCGAGGTGTCTAGGCCGCTGAGGCAGAGCGCGCGCCAGGCGAAGGCTCCCCGCCCGCCTCCATCCCAAGCAGGCGCTGCTGCCAACGCCTACTCGGGGCATCTTGACCACGCCCCGGAAGGTAGGCGCTAGCTGCAGCAGAAAATGGTGTTGTTGGTGACGGGATTCCGTGCTGGATGGTAGAATGATTCCTGTTGTTTTGATTGCATTTTATGCCTTTTCATTTTTTGGGTATATATTTGGATTTAGGTTCCAGAGGGGTCTGAAGAGGAAGCCGATGGCTCTCATCAAGAGGCTGCGCACGGCGGTGATGCATTCCCTTCCTCTCTGCGATTTTGTTTCATAGATTGCCTGGTTATTATGCCCATAGCGTTCTGCAAGTTTAATGCTGGGACGCTAGAATGTGCGATTTTTGTAGTGTAGATGTTGAGTGCATCCTGCAGCTCATGCCTTAGGATGATATGGACATGTGGAGTCGTCTGAAGTGTTTTGCTCACAGAATCGATGGTCAGCAGAACTGAAATGGTTCTACTCCGCATTTTTTTTAGTTTCGATGCTATTGCTATGGCAAAACCCTGGTTCAGACTTGCAGTAAAGATGGTTGAAGGTGCATCAATAATTTTGCAGCAAACAGTGTTAGATTATTAGTAGGAAATGTAATATTCTGCTAAAGTGCAGTGCCATGCTTGATAGCAACTGCATGATCTGAACGTTAATGTTGATCTTACTGTTTGAAACATGCAAATAATTTCTAAATTAGGCTGTTTCCTGTAGGGCAAATAATTTCTTGCTAAGTTGATTTTTTTTAACTGTTAGGATGGGAGCAATGACTGGATCTGATTGCTACAATTATGTGTTACCATGCAGTTGGCGTCACTTCCAACAATCATTCTATAAGAGGTAGGAAGCTGTTAGTTTCGTCTGATACAACTGATGCTGAAAATGATGCACCTCAGGTGTCCCCTACCATCCCCTATGATCTGCAGGTAGAGTTCTTGGCTAAATTTAGACTGAATCAAGTAATATGTGTGCTGACACTACTTGATCCTGTGACTTCTAAATTCTGATCCCGTGAATTCCCATGGTGTCAACATGGCGCGTTATACGTCTTTTTCTTACAATTTGCTCTTACAATTTGCTAAATGTTCTAGGTGCATGTACATTGGCTTTAGCAGAAGCGTGGTGGTGTGCTAAACTTCCAGGTTCAATTGCTTACCATATACATTTTTTATTGTGTCTATGATTTGCAATTGGGGCCGTGACAGAGATGTTGTTTAGATTAAGGCATGTAGCTGGTAGGTTATGAACAAAAGAGAATTACTGATAAAATTTTCTGTACAAGGTGTGGTCATTTCTTTGTGGTGCCGACTTGAGAATTAATACAAGTATTTGTTCATTCTCATCTGTTCTCTCTTGTTGGAAACAAATACTATCACACACTGTTGTCTCGCAAGCAAACACTCTACTGGCCGATTATGGGTTCTGCTGTATTCACTAAAACAACGAGTGGATAGGCTGCAGGTGCAATAGCTGGTTGCCTGGTTCAGCATTATTTCGTACCAGTGAAGCTGACACATCATAATTGGTTCTGACCAAATGTTTAGCAGCAGCAGCATGCCATTCATAATATGATTTTGTCTTGCATATATTTTTATAGGAGACTAATGAGGATCTGAGGACAAGTGGAGAAGCACCAATATTCATTGGATCTGACGAACAGGATAATGTCAAACAGTACAAGTAAGCAAGTAGCCCTGATAGAGGAACATTTCTAGCCAAATTATTTATAGCGGATCAATCGCAATTTGCAAATATTGTCCGTACATATTTTTCTCCACTTAGTTGTTTTCATGTGCATCCTTGAAATATCGCCGTGGCGTTAGCACGGGCACTGTACTAGTAGAAATGAATAGTCATATTTATAATATCCAAAGGACACCATCTATGGGGGTTACAGGATATGTAAATCTTTTATCTTTTAGCAAAAATAAATACTATTAAAACTCAAGAGAAAATCTATATCACCTAACAAAGTTAACTCTAATGATCCAGGTGTTTTCGGCTATATATATACGCCCATAACACATTATTAAATATATCTTTACAATTTACTTTGGTAAAATTTAGAATATTATGAATTATATGACAACTCAAAGCCACTGACCAATCTGAAACGCAAGTGCGCTCAAGACGCTGCACCGGGGCCCGCCCGTCAGCCACAGGAGCAAGGGGTCCGTGCGCGGGCTCCGTTCCGACTCCACGAAGTAGTAGAACAGCTCCGCCCCGGTCTCCTTCTCTATCCCCACGTACCTGCATCGTCACGTGTACATACAAGTTCAGCCAGACTGGAGCAGTGCATCGACGTCGACGGGCAGCCGGTCGGCCAGCCGGCGTGGGCGCCTTACCCGGTCTCCAGGTAGAAGGGAAGAGGGCCATCGAATCCCGGCAGGTGGGTGACCACCGTCGACGTCGCCGCCGCCGTCCGGGAGAGCATCGGCTGCGGCAGCACAAGGACGGCAAGGCAGGCTACGAGAAGCAAGGGCGGCGAAGATAGCCGGCGGCGGGGGTAGTGTACGACGTGCATCCAAAGAGCAGCATGCAACGCCATTCCTGGATCGAGCTTTGGGACTTTGGGTGTGTGTTGTGAATGGTGTGAGATATTTTGCCCCGGAGAATAATACATGGTGTGGAGTCAACCCATGCTGATGCATCATGACACATGATGCATCGTGAGCTCATCGCATGAATTTAGATGAAATCAACTCATTTCTTATGTATGTTAACGAGAAATAAAATAATAATAAATCAACTTATTCCATTTTGAAACGAGGAAAAAATAAACCACCTTATTTCTCAAATCAGACACACCCCTCGTTTTTTAATCCACACACCCATAATCTCTCTGCCACCTGCCTACTCCCTCCATCGCAAGAAAGGAAAGAGTCCACTCTTCATATCCAGCGGCAAGGCAGCTATCATATCTGATATTGACTAGCACTCAATCTCCATTATTTATTCTTCAATAGTTTGGCACCATCATCATCACTAGTCATTAGTACTAGCAGAGAGGAAAAATATCTAAGAAGCCAGCATGAGGAGTGTCACATTTACATCACAAAAAATATCTAATATGCACCATCATCATCACTGGTCACTAGTACTAAGTAGAGATTCTGATTAAAAAAAGGGTACTAGTAGAGATATTGCACCATAAATAGGCTTACACAAAAGTCCTCATCCGTGCTCCAACATGTAATAGTACGTACTACCTTTCCCTTTTTTTATATAAAAAAACATGTGAGGACTTGGAGTAACTCCAGCACTACAAACTAAAACAAGATCTAACAGCCTGTTCGGGAGGCCGTATCGTATCGTGGATTATTTACTGCTGGCTAATTTGGTGCGAGAGAAAAACACTGTTCCCGGCTGAAAATTTACGATCGTTTACGAGCAAGCGAACATGCTGTAAGTAGTTACCTACTTTCAAAGGATGTTTTCCGTTATTGTCTCTAGCAGGACTATCTAAAATAGGCTGTCTATTTTATTTTCTCAGAAATACATGTTTTTTTAAGAAAAACTGTAGAGCACTCAGAAATACATGTTGCCCCTCTATGATCTTCATTTGGCCTCCACAATTTAACCAACAATATAGTGTTTGCATAATTTAAACCAACATAGAGTTAACATAATATTATAACACAATATAAATTTAAATTTCCAAAGTCAAAATTCAAATGTCAAATTGTCCACATCAACAAGAGGAACTAAAACAATATGCATGTCAAATGCAACCACACTATGATACTGAGAGCATCTAGACCCCTAGTTGGGTTTCGGTGATTAATGACGACATGAGATTACTATGACTAACGTGTGTTTTGCAAAGACATTATGAGTTAGGTCATGATAATGGCAATTGATTGGGCAAATATGGTTTTCATGCCCCCATCGATGGAATTCGATTCAGTTTTCAAAGGATGGACGACAAGGTTAAGGACGGATTAGTTCTAAGTGTCACTTAGAGTTGGAGAGACACTTAAAGTAGTTTAGGACTTTGTTTTTCCTTTGGCCGTACTATTAAGAAGGGTATGAACTAGTAGCTTGACCTAGGTGAGTCTAATGAGTTAGGTGTGGTGCACATTTGTTAAACTTAGCACTAGGTAGCTTAGGTGAAGCCCTTAGATCAATTGGAAGTAACTTCATTCACATAGGATTTCGAGTTGGAAGTGAATGGAGAGTTAAATGATTGACCGGACGCTGGTCTGGTTATGACCGAACGCTGGAGGGTGAGTCCGGTCAGTTCATTTGATCAACATCAACCGTCTGGTACTGACCGGATGCTGAGTGGGAGTGCACCGGACGCTGGGTGGTCTGCGTCCGGTCGACTCCAGAGAGGTTCCAGAGAGACTTTTTCCTGACCGGACGCGTCCGGTGGGTGATGACCGGATGCTGGTCAGAGTTCGGTCAGAACTTAACGGCTCTCTCTGACACAGTGACGTGTTGAACTGACCGGAGCATCTGGTCACCTTGATCGGAGCGTCCGGTCAGCCCGTAGAGTGCTGATTGAGCCTCCCAACGGTTTGTTTTGTTTGAGGGGGTATAAATACTTCCTCTACTCGTCCATAGGAGGTCTCTTGCTCATTTGTTCAGCTGAGAAACACCTTTGGAGTGCAAGGAAGTGCAAGAGCCTAGTGAGGGTGATTGAGATTTGTTAATCCAAGATTAAGGACCTCATTAGTGCATAAGGAGTAGCAAGTGTGAATCCACTCATCTCATTAGGCTTGTGTGGGTCAAGTGAGAGTTTGTGCTTGTTACTCTTGGTGATCGCCATCACCTAGACGGCATGGTGGTGATTGGAAGCTTGGTGATCATCCGGTGAAGCTTGTGGACGACCCAAGCGATCTTGTGAGCGGTTGTGGGCGATTCACCGCGACGGAGTGTCAAATAATCAGCCCGTAGAGAGCACTTGGTCCTTACGCGGATCAAGGGGGAGCTACACCCTTGCGCGGGTGCTCCAACGAGGACTAGTGGGGAGTGGCGACTCTCCGATACCTCAGGAAAACATTGCCATGTTCCTTTTCCTCTTTACCTTGAGCATTTTAATTCTTATCTTTATATTCATAGAATTACCATGCTAGAGTAGGATTGGAACATAAGGTTGCTTAAATTTTAAGTGGTAGAACAAATAGAGACACTTCTAGGCACAAGGGGTGAAATAGGCTAAGTGTAGGATTTAATTTTTGCAAAAAAATTAGAATTAGGCCAATTCACCTCCCCTCTTGGGCATCTTGATCCTTTCAATTGGTATCAAAGCCTCATGCTCGTGAAATTAGGCTTAACCGCCTAGAGCAAGATGTCCCACGGGGATGGACCTCCTCCTATCTTTGAAGGAGATGACTTTCCTTATTGGAAAATTCTCATGGAGGCGTACCTAGAGGCAATAGATGTTGGAGTGTTTAGAGCCACCACACAAGGCTTCCCCGAACCTAAGGATACCGATAACCTTCAAGGTGATGAAGTGCACTATGAGAAATAGAATGCAAAGGCTAGAAACATCCTCTTTAGAGGCATTTGTAAGAATGTGTTTAACCGTGTGAGGAACCACAAGGACGTCCATTCACTATGGTCTGACATTTGTGCGCTCCATGAGAGAACTAAGAGTGAGCATGAGGAACACTATCATCTTGTCATGAAAAAGCTTAATTCATTTGAGATGTTTCCTAAAGAAAGTGCAAATGGAATGTACTCACGCTTGAATGTTCTTGTAGGGGAAGTCAATAGGTTTGGTCTCACAAAATTAAAGCCATCCGATGTTGTGAGAAAGATCTTGAGTGTTCTCCCCATTGACAAATATAGGCACATTATGACGGTGCTTCATCCAGGTGATCTTTCAATCGCTACACCAACGCAAATATTGGAAAAGATCAATGCACATAAGATGTTGTAGGATCTTTGGTAAGCCTAGGAGTGCCTAGAGGGGGGTGAATAGGCCTGTAAAAAACCCAGCTCCAAATTCGGTTAGAACTTAGGGCGGCACTGCTGGCCTTATAGGGCAGCACTGTCGGCCTGCGCAGGGGAGATTCAACACAATTTGAAATATAGCAATGGAAATTCATATCAGGTGAAATTCCTAGCTTCCTGCAGTAGAGTTAGTCACAGTATAACAACCAGAACTTGCAGGATTAGCTCCACCGAGTAGATCGACCACAAACCCTAGGAATACAACCTCAACAACAAATATGCAAGAAAGTAAACAACACACAGTGATTTATCCCGTGGTTCGGCTCGCCACCAAGGCTTGCCTACTCCACGTTGTTGAGGTTGACCACAAATGGCTAGGGCTTGCCACCAAGGCTTGCCTTTCCCTCGTCCTCAAATCAAGAGAGTGAACTCTTGAAGTGAGAGGTGATTTATTAGCTGCACAAGATGGTTACAAACCTCCCAAGGCTGCCACACGAGTTGGCAAGCTCAAGGGCAACACCTAGCCGGCTAGGAGCAAAGCTCCAAGAGTAATAAACTCAAGGACGCCGGCCAAACGCGAACCAAATGCTCTTTTGACTTTGGGAATCAATGGATCTGCTCTCCAATCGAAGTTTGCTGCCTTTTCTCTCAAGTTTTGATGGTGGAAATCAAGGATTGGCTTGGGAGCTTGAGGAGCAACAATGGAGGAGAGAGAGATAAGCTCTGGTCTATTTCTGGTCTAACTGAACCATTTGGGAAGAAGAGATTGCCGTTGGAGGCTAGGCCAATGGGTATTTATACCCCTTGGGGCCCAATGGTCGGTTATGGGTGACACTTCCGCCCTTACAGGGTGGCACTGCCGCCTTTACCAAAGCAGTAAGGATAGGCAACAGAAAGCATGGCTATTTTGGCTGGGGTGCGAGGAAATTCTGGTCAGGATATGAGCACTTAGTTCACAATTTGACAGAAGTCATTGAGTCCCCCTTGATAGTACGGCTTTCCTATACTCAATTTCAAAATATAAACAAATTTAAACCTCCTTTGAGCTGGGAACCGTCACCATTTGTAGTTGGGGGCTCCTCCATCACATGAATCATCCTCCTTTCATCATTCCCTGCTCATCATCTCGATAATTCTCATTAGACCTCTAATTCGGTGGTCATCAACGCCAAACCCCACATAGGGCTTGATTGTACTTACAATCTCTCCCTTTTTGGTGATTGATGGCAACCCAATTAGAGCTTACAAAAGATATGAAATATAGACTGAGAACTTATCAAGCCATGAATGTAGGGCCTCCCCCTAAATATGTGAATATGGATTTGAATTTCCAATTTGGCATAAAAGGCCAAAATTCACATCTTAGAGTGTGTAGGGAGCCTCCCCCTACATCCATGCCTACTGTGGGGTGCTACAAACTATGTCAGATATATTAACGTGATGCATATAATAGTTTATGCACAACAAGGTCTGGCTGGAGTAGCACAGGCGACACTGCCGGCCTAGGAGGGCGGCACTGCCATCCTGGCTAAATCAGCTAGATTACAATCAGGTTCACACAGCATAAACTAGATATCTAAAAGTACTTATAGCACAAATATGACAAGCTAAAACATTAACTAAGATACATGTCCATATCCGATACAA